ACCCAAGAATAGGGAACTCCAACTTGTCTGTTGCCTCTAAAAATTCAGTTTTGGCAGACATGAATTGTCTATACAGAATGGAGTTGGGTCCTGTCCAACAAGTCCTTTTGTTCCAGACTTGCCTTAGTGCCAAGCTTAAGGCTGTGAAATAAGAGCAAGACTCAGAATTTCAGCTAACAGCTAAACCATACCTTCTGATTGTATTACTGTGGGCACAAGTCACATTCAGCCCTACACTTTGGGAACAAAAGAAGAGTGATACAGTATCTCATCCAGATCAAGCTGCCACAGGCAACAGGTACTGCAGCCAACTCATTAGCACTTTGAACTATAATAATGAAAAGATCTGTAACTGCAGCATTCGGCTGGTGTATGATGGAATTTACATCCACTGAAAGGGTGCCTTGATTTGAAGGGAAGATGTCAACTCTTTTTCCTTTTTTTTTTTTTTTTTTTCCCCCGATTACAAAAGCTGAAAGAATAACTGGCTTTTTAGTTGAGTTAGTTTCCATCAGGGGAAAGAATGCTGTGCTTAAAACTGTCCTGTGATTTTAACTTATCTCTAAAAATACCCTTTGAAAGATAAAGACAGAAACAGACTTCCAAATGAAACCCTCCCTAAATACTAACATTCAGACATTTCTACTTTATTTTATTAATTTGTTGCAATTGAGAACAGTAATCTTAGACTTCTGTTTATCTGCATTATGACCTTAAGGTTCTTTCCAACCCTAACTATTCTATGATTCCACATTCCATTTTCAATTCTTTCTTTCCCACCCCCAGATTTTGTTCATAGTTTGCCAGACTATCTTTAGAGAGGATGGAGCACTTAAGGTAAAGACCAAATTATCTTTATTCCATAAAAAAAAAAACCCAAACCAAATCAAACCTGAAGATACAGTTTCATCCAACTCCTTAAAACCAGATTCCTCCAGTTTTTCATTAAATAAAGATCTTACCTTCTTCTATCTCTGCTTGAGAGAACCAAAACTAGACAAATGGTTTATTCATATTTTGCTACCACCCATCTTCCCGTACAGGTGAGGGAATGCTGCTGTTGTGTGCTGATCTCAGATCTCTTAGAAACAGCCATTTAGTAAAAAAAAAATCGTGTGTGACCTCTTGTTGTGATTTAAGCCCAGCCGGTAACTCAGAACCATGCAGCTACTTGCTCTCTCTCCCACTTCTTCCTCCTCAGCTCCCAGAGCGACGGGGAGGAGAAGAGAAAGAATGTAACTCCCATGGGCTGAGATAAAAACAGTCCAGTAACTAAGGTATAATACAAAACTACTACTGTTACCACCAATAATAATAGTGATAAGGGCCCATCTATATGTTGCATCTCTGCCTTGATGGCCTGAAGTGTTATGGGCCCACTGGGCCAAAAATAATTCACCCTTATGTTGCCAATCTAAGTCCATCTGAGCCACTTCAATCTTAGCAGCTTTATCCACTTATTGGTCGTTCTGGTGTTCCTCAGTGGCCCGACTCTGGGGTACATGGGCATCTACGTGGTGTACCTTCACCACCAGGTTCTGCACCCGAGCAGCAATATCTTTCCACAGTGCAGCAGCCCAGATGGGTTTACCTCTGCATTGCCAGTTGCTCTGCTTCCATTGCTGCAACCACCCCCACAGGGCATTTGCCACCATCCAGGAGTCAGTATAGAGGTAGAGTACAGGCCACTTTTCTCGTTCAGCAATGTCCAGGGCCAGCTGGATGGCTTTCACCTTGGCAAACTGACTCGATTCACCCTCTCCGTCAGCAGTTTCTGCAACTTGTCGTCCAGGACTCCATTCAGCTGCCTCCCATCTCTGATGCTTTCCCACAATACGGCAAGACCCATCAGTAAACAATGCATACTGCTTTTCACTTTCTGACAGTTTATTATATGGTGGGGCCTCTTCAGCACGCACCGCCTCCTCCTCTGGTGACATTCCGAAATCTTTGCCCTCCGGCCAGCCCATGGTGACTGCTAGAATGCCTGGATGACTGAGATTTCCTATTGAGTTCGTTGTGTAATTAGTGCAGCCTACTTACTCCATGTAGCATTGGTTGCATGATGTGTAGAAGAGCCCCTGCCTTTGAACATCCAGCCCAGCACAGGCAGCTGGGGTGCCAGGAGGAGCTGTGCTTCAGTGCCAATCACTTCTGAAGCAGCTTGAACCCAGTATCTCTTTCTCAGTTGGGGTATAGCTGGCCTCAGATCCTCTGTATCCCTGGCTCCAAAAGCCAAGGGGTCGACCTCGAGTCTCCCCAGAGGCTCCAGGTAGGACCATTCTCCCTGGCTGCAGTGTACAGTACATTTTTTACATCTGGCCCGGTCTGAACTGGTCCAGGGGCTACTGCATGAACTATCTCATGCTTAATTTGCTCAAAGGCTTGCTGTTGCTCAGGGCCCCATTTGAAATAATTCTTCTGGGTCACGTGATAGAAAGGGCTTACAATCGAACTGTAATTTGGGATGTGCATTCTCCAGAACCCCACAGCACCCAAGAAAGCTTGTGTTTCATTCTTCTTGGTTGGTAGAGACATAGCTGTTATCTTGCTGATCACATCTGTGGGGATCTGACGCAGGACGCTTTTTCTGCTCAGGTACTGTTGAAAGGGTAGATAGTTTGACAGTGACATCTGTTAGCCCTGAATTACACTACCAAAAATCTTCAGAACATAGCAAGAGATTTCTATCTTAATGCAGAGACAGGCCTCATTTACATCATGTGCATTGGGTATGCTTGTAGCTGAAGGCATGTATTTAGCTGAATGACCACCTCAAATGGAACAGACCATGAAGGACATTAGCTTACATACTTTGTACTTACTGCTAAATTCAAAATACAAAAGAAAAGCATGTGTTTTGGTACAGTCTTGAGAATTCTGCATAAATCAGTAAAGCACACTGTAGATCTCAAGTACTACTGACAGGACCCAGACTAGATCTGCTAAAAGAAATGAATGCAGCTGGTACCTTGAAAGAACGTAGTACTTGTACCACCACTAGATCTAAGCTCTGATCTAACTCAGCCAGAAGTCAAGCCTGGTCTGTTGGCCAGTCAGCTCTGTTCTTTAAAAAATGAATGAAAAACAATGTACAAAAAAAGTAATTAAATCTGTACCAGGAAGAGTAAGTTTTCATATTTCAGAATATTAAAAACTTACTTTCTACAGCAAGTCAGTATTTTGTAGTTTTTAGTGGTGCATCCTGCTAAAGCCACCTATTGATCACTTATTTAAGCTAAAATTTGAGTACGCATATGTACGAGCCAAATGAACAGAAATACTTTTAGCAGCTCACTTAAAAAGGTTAATTTTTTTTTTTTTCATGCCACATTTATTCACATTTTTGCATGGGCAAAACCAACAACTCTGGACAAAGCAGTCTATTACTTCTTTTGGGAAGATAAAGCAAGTACGCATGAAGAATCCAAATATGTTCACTCTAACTGATGGGAAGAGGACCAAGAAAATAACAGCCTGAAGCAAATGGCTTTTGCACCACAGAACAGTTGCTGTAAGCTGGCAGCATGCTTTGTCACTCTGCTTAAAGTTACAGATCTGAGACTCTGGTGTAGACTAAAACTGTAAAACTTTCATCAATGAAAGCAAGAGTGTTTGACACAAGTTAATGTTCTAGCACAGTATCTACTGCTGTCCTGAGTACTCTCTTCCTTCTTGCAGAATATGCAAGTGTATGTCCTCCTTCTCTTATGGCAAAATGCCTTCCCTAAAATTTTATTCCTAGAACATTATTGCCCAGTTTCACTGATACATCTTGCCAAATAGTCTCCAACACATACTTAGTTACTGCTTCAAGGCAACTGTGATGGAATAGTGAATCTAACATCTTGGAAAAGGATGGGTTTTATGTACTGAAAGTTGGAATTAAAAACTTGACTGTATAACGACCTGTACAATCTGGTCTGAGGTCAATGTTGTCCTTGAGTAAAGCAGGAATTTGGACTAGATAACCTGCCAAGATAATTTCTAATCTGGATGATTCTCTGATATGGCTGTCTTCATACTCATGGAAACTTTAAAAACCCAAGTTCTTGCACGTAGTTTAATTCAAAATGTTCTGGCACTTACGAAAGTTAAGGATCTTCAAAAAGTCACTTGGAATTCTATACAATAAAATACACATAAATTGGGGTTTCTTGACATGCCTCTTCAGTGAATTACTTAAAAATATTTACAGTGAATTTTCATTTTATTTCATTGCTTCCATTCTATACACTAAATTTGCAATTAACAATTTTTCAAAATGAAACCAGTTCCCAATTATACTTCCACTATAATTTCCAACACTTATGCATTTAAAATACAAGAGTTAAAATAATAATGTAGACCTGAACGTGATATAGTCAGAACCTACAAACAGCAACACCCTTTATGTTTGCCATGACTATTTTCCATAAGTGATAACTACTATACAATGATTAATGATTATAATGCACATCAATTTACAGTATTCACAACAGGCTTATAACATGAAAGTGTGAAAAAGGCAGCAGCCTCTCATACAATTTAAAAGTGACTCTCCACCTGCTTTTATTTGCTAAAAAACATCTTCCCCCCCAACTTTCAAGATTATTTACTCATGAAAACAAGGACTAAATTATTCTGAAAAATAAGAAGTAATTTTCAGACTGGAAGTCTTGATGTGCTAGGGGAAGAGAGCAAAAATTGTACATTTCAGTTGGTCACTTGTACATAAAGAGACTTATTTCTGCTCCACAAATAACAATTCAGCAGAGACTTTAAAATGAAGGACATCAGTGCCAAATAGCAAACAGGTAATGGTGCACATACTTGTGACCTAACAAAAGAGAAACTCAACAAATAGCCCATTATTTTTTTACACTTTCTATACACTTTGAACACTGACAGTACATCCATTTGTATGAATATTCTATTTTTATACAAAGTAGCAGAGTAAAACTAAACCCTGAAGTTATAAGTGTAAAGTTGAATAAAAACGGCACTTACACATGCACACATCAGCTTCTAATTTGCTTTATTCACACACTTTAGTTACTGCAAGTCTTACAAACAAACTGCAGGACATCAAATTTGCATTCTCTGCAACTTTGCCCAAACCCAAGTTTTTGTTATTTTGTACAAAGCAAAAGATTCCTCTTCGTCATCTTCTGCCACACTGCAGCAAAGTAACGTGTAATAATTCACAGGTGTGTAGGAGACATTTATGTGTAAGTTACTTTTACAGTTTCTATTTTGCTTACAGCGCCATTAACAGTGAAGTTGAAAACATATTTAAAAGACCAGTAAACCCACCAGTCTCTCACTTGCAAGTTCTTATAACTTATGAGAACAAGACCATTTGAACCGGCTAGCAGTTCAAATTAAGTATCAGTTGTGATGTTTATAAAGCATATACTAAGAATTCATCCATTCCTTAATTCAGTTAACTAGTAAGAGGAAAGGTAAATCCTCACTCCAGCCATATCTAAAATCTATCCCCTTCTGTATGTCTGCATATTATATATACAATTTGTGTCTATAATGTGGAATTTAAACAGTACTTTTTTAATTACACTTAGGAATCCATATCCCCATTTTTAAAACAAGTTCCTTTACAGTGCAAGGAGCACCCACAGAATGGATTCTCCAAACTTAATTTTCTAAGCCATTTTAAACAACAGTTAGGTTAGTAAGTCTCTAACCTAAGCCCACTGCGCTAAATCCACACCTGAACAGATTAAGAAACATTTTGAAGCAGTGTTGAGTAAATTATTTTGGTAAGCTGTAAAACTGCCACATGCAACGTATACTGTACTACAACAGCTCCAAATCCTTTATAAAAACCTAGCATTCCTTCTTCCCGTTTTATAGTATTTATGCAGTCTCTCATTCCCTCATACTGCGTATTGATGGGAAGCACTTCATAGCCAAGGTCCGTATTGTCAATTATTGTGCGTGTCCCTTGAATATGAAGGCGGTGTAAAACTGTCTCCAGTGGGTAAAGCATGACATCAGCACAAAGGCTAGCTGCAAAGCTAGCAATAAGTTCTGGAAAATAAGCATCCAGCATGCTCTGAATGGAAGTAGAGCCCTCAGGTGGAAGGTTGTGGGAATTACCCCTTTTCAGAACAAACAAAACAAGCTTCTGGATGATGGAACTGATGACGTAGTGAAGAACCCCATGTAGAACAGTTGGAAAAGCCAAGACCATCAGAGGAAGCAGACGCTTGCTATGGGGTACTCCCATGCCTACAACTCTGCCAATTCCTTCTTTCACGCAGTCCAGGATGCCAGGATTATCTCGAATTATTTCGCTCTACAAGCGCAAAGAATAGTTACAACCTGTAACCATTTCAAAACCATATTGACATCCACCTCGACACTTTGTCACTGCTGAACAGAGAATTCCTTTATAGACATCTGCACGCTATTGTTATCTACAAAGCTATACTGCTGCAAATTCTTTGCTCTAACACTCTGGATCACACTCAAGTAAGCAGTCTTTTAAAACATGAACCCATCCTAAAGTCTTTATTTAATGTACATTTCATTTATTTGTGGTGCTACCAAAGAAATTCAACTTCTGGGCTACTGCTGAAAGTATCAGTCTACAAAACAGTCATGTATTGAAAACACCTTCTTCCAGAGCAAAATGACAGGGAAGTATATCTAAATCAAAAGTCCTTTTATTTAAGGACTACAACTCTAGTTTTTGAACTTGAATGTGCATAATAAAGACTTCCATAGCTAAAGTTGAGCTGACAGATAATTTTTAGTATGAATTTAATAGGTTCAGCTCATGTTTCTGTACCATTATTTGCATCTAAAATAGCACTCTTTACCATGCTGCTTCTTAGAAGATAATTATTTTGTTCACGTAGTGAAAATAAACAATTCACTTAGCAATTACTTACTCCATTATACTCCACCTATGACTGTATGACTAAGCTAAAGACCTTGTTTCCCCTTCTAATGTTTTTACAAACTCTGTGTTTTATCATCTCTGGTACATCCAAAATTCAGGATTTGGGAGTTCTCCTCAATGCCCAACTCTGAATCCTTGCTGAATGTGTCCTGACCTGATGCCTGGATAAACCACCAGAACATTCCTCAGTACTCTGGGAAAGTACTAACAGCCTGCAAAGCCTTCATGATCAGTCTGCACAGAAGAGAAACTCGTTCAAATACCTAAGTTGTGTTGTTCCACACTTTAAGAACAAGTTAAGCATCATAACCCCTAATGAATCCTCTTCTCCCCCATATCATTATAGTCACTGCGCTTCCAAATCTGTGCTTGCTTTTGTCAAGCATGACACCATGTGGTTTGAGAACCTGAAGACAAAAACAGTAATGTGACAGCTACAAATTTCTACCATTTACAGTTATTTTGACGAAATATATTTACTTGAGGAAGTGCATCAAAGGAGTACTGTTGAACAGCATGGTTCACCAGAATTAAGGTAACCAAAATTAGTACAAAACTGTTACTTAAAAATCCCAGAATCTTTAACTTTCATAGTTTGTTATTGGTCATTGTCCTCTTGCAGCACAGGAATATAATGTAAATCTGATGAGCCAAGTTGCCTCCCTGGACTGATTAGTACAGCATATTCCAACTGCCTATATTAAATGTCCTTTCTAATGCCAGATTTAGACTTAAGACAGTATGACTAATATACCTATTATAGTAAATATTTTAATCTCAATTAAAATTTAGTCATACACTGTCAAGCAAAACAAATGCAACAACTGCAAAATAAACCTGAATCCAAACCTAAAGAATAACAGCGTCTTTTTTAATGTTGTAAATATATGTTAAGTTACCTGTACAGTTTCAATCAGGCTTGCAGAATAAAAAGGCATTGCTACCACATGTGTTAAACTGTAGAAATGAAGAAGACGAGAATTATGCTCATTACACTACTACAGATCTAGCAAACTATGCACCTGAAAGTTGACAGTTATCTACCAACTCATGCCCAAGAGAAAATTAACTAAATTATTAAAATGCACATCAACAAGCTGAGACACACTTCAGTCTGAAATTGTGTTAAATCCTATTTCCATGTGACTAGGCTGATTCACTAAAAGAATCTAATTTACTAAAAGAATCTAATATTTTAGTCAGATTCTATACAGGCACAGGGATCTAGTATGAGAGAATATTTTGTGAAAGTGGTGTATGCAATCAAAATCGTTCAAAAAAACCCCAACAACACAAACCTCATAATCAGAAAATTGTTATCAGCACCAAGTAACCATAGCTGCAGATAAAATTAATATACATTTAGCAGCTTCATTAATGTTTAGAAAATTACATAAGGTAGTAACACATGCTATACTTACCCTTTGAGTAGAAGGTGTCCACCTATCTGCTTGAGGTTCCATTTATGTGAAAGCTCCCTAAAAAGAAAAGTATTTGCCTTAACATGGGTAAGAACACATTATTCTCAAGCATTTCTTCCACAGGTATCAACACCCAGTTTTCATACTGCTGTTCTACTATCAGCTTATGTTGCAAGATTTCCCATAGTGGAAAGATACTGAGCAACATACTTAATAAATCATGCTTAAATGTTAGAAGTTATTTGGGCCTATTATGCTATTAAAAAAAAAGCCTTTAATGATTAAAATGTATACAGCTCTCACAGCTACTGCCTTTGAAGTGTTGCAATTATTTCACATCCTTATGTACTAATTCTTCAAGCCATTCTCAGGGAATACTGAATTATTTTAAAATCTCACTAGGGTTCCTTTGTCAACACACTTGTTTTTATGTTTTGGTTTGGTTATGCTGCTCCTTTTGTTTGAGGTTATGTTTACCCAGTTGTTGTTTCTTTCCTGAAAACCTAAGTCACATTCTGATGCAGACAAGACCAAACCAAATAGAACAGGTCAGACTAGAAGCTGAATATTAATCCTGTACAAACCTAAGACTTTTGGCTTTAGCACAACCTGGTAAAACAGAAGAAAACCTACCTGTTTAACACAAAGGTGACTTTAAAATAAGTCCCATTAAAGTAGTATTTCTAATTATGCACTTCAAATTAGGAACATTAGCAAACATAACTACATTCCACTTGACAGAAAGTGTAATCCCACCCGGCTCAAGATACCACTCAAATACCAATGTATTTACCATATATTTGGTAAATACTCCATTTATGAGGTAAAAAGATATTTGTCTGAAATTCTGGACACACTAAACTGTATATTTTTAATAATAAGCTATAAGGTGTTCAGCTTCAATTACTGTCCAGGAATCACACTCACCCACTGCCTTTAGTTACAACTTCAAAGAAAAAAACTCTACTCTTTCCCTAAAATTGTATGTTACTGGTAGCTATCACTTTCCCAAATATGTAGGTCAATTACTAAAGAGGAAGGGAAAAGCACTTACTATTATGCATTTTGGACACTTGGATTACATCCATTGAACCATATTACTCAAAGATGTGGAAAATGAAACCAGCCAAACTAATGTGTGAAAGACTAACCTGCCAATCCACTACATGTAACTACTCCTGCAATGGGAGAACGATTACAGAATGAGTTTGTCTAGTACAGAACCAAATGCAACTTGAAAGTGTTAACACCCATTTCTGTGCCCTCTCCTAAGCCAGAGGGAATCTTTCATAATATTATGTACAGAAGTAGAACTGACATCTCACTTCGTTGTTCTTTGGAGTTTGATAATGTAGTTAAATAACCTGCTAAACCAGATTTGGTGACACTGCTGCAGTAAGCAGTATCTCCCTGTGACAGCCCATACATACACACTATGATTAAAAAGGGAGAGCATCCTGTAGAAAACTGCATGAGGTGGTGCACATTCAAGACAAATGCTTTAGCCAGATCACTTCCCCAGTCCAGCTCATTCTGTGGCTGTTCACATACCATGTTGGCACAACAATGGGGGTAGGACAGAGGAAGGAATAAGTAACTACTAGCAGAAAGGACTGCTTCTTTTCGCAGCAGTGCCAGCTCACTTTTCAAGCTACTGAACAAGTGGCCCACAAGAGAAAAATACTTCCTTACATTTAACAGAAATCAGAACTATGAAAATATAAACACTGTATCACATTTGAACTTAAGGGTCTTCTACAGCAGTTTTTAAAAAGCAAGAACAAGTCACACTTTGAGAAAACTGTGAATTTCAGTTATGCATGAGACATCTGACCAAAAAGCTTAAATACACACTCCACACAATTTAAGTATGAAATGCTCTTGATAATGCTTTTGACAAACGCCAGAAACTGAAGACTTACTTTTATTAGTATGCATACATGTATCATAACAGTAGCTAGATTAATGAAACTACGACTTTTTACTTTAGACATGGTATCTGCTCGTATCACACAATACAAACCAAAATACGAAAAGAAACTTATGAATCCTTTAATTATGGTGGAATTACACTGAAGACCAATGTGCTATGCTAGTTCTATACAGACCAGTAAGCAAACATACAAAGCACAGGAAGTCTCTCACTATTTATTAATTACAAGCTTGTTGCCAAGGCAACCACACCATGCTGAAAACACCTATTCAGTGCCTGGCTGTTCTAATGAAGTAATTTTTTTCAAAACAGCCTGTAAGTTCTAACATTTTCAATAAAAATCAACAAATGATATAATGATAAATTTGTTAGAATCAGTAAATAAAAACCCCATGCAATACCTTGGCAAAGGTGTAAATTCACTGATGATGCCTTCTGTTCCCAGGGTTATGCCCTGAACAATGAAAGTGCTGCCCATTCCTTTCCAGAGGGCTCTTGGACCCTGCATTTTGAACATGCAACATTTTGATTCTTGCAACATAAAACTCAAAAATCTTTTAACCCGATTTTTATAAAATGTCAGTAAATTCAAACTGCACAGGGCTACAAGTCTACCATTAAAATGAATTATTGCCAAATTCAGGGGACAACTAATTTTCAGCTCTGAAGAAACTTTTGGTTTTCAGTCATTTCAAGCAGTTGTCAACGATTTTGGAGGCATATCTCTCACTGTGAATACTCTGCGCTATAAGCTTAACACCATTTTCTATGAACAAAATGTTAAATGACATCTGTACAAAACCCAGAAAGTCTGTTTTTGCTGTCTTCTGAATTTTAGGCTTGCCATTCCCAGACAGAACTGGAAATTCATGCACTCTTATCTTTGGAAATAGTAATTTGGATAATTTCTTTATTCACAAAGATTAACTGTTGTTTCAAATACTAATAAAAAAAGTTTCAGGGGTCTTTTATTTTCTGACATCTGCAAATGTTCCCCACAAAGGACTATACTACTAAAAATAAAAGAAAAGATTTTACAGTCTTCTTGAAACATTTCTGCCACCATAAAAATAACAAACCCTTACAATGGCCATGTTTTTCACCCTCAGTTACAGAAAGAGTTATGGATGTCAATATACAAGCATGTTATAGTAACCTTCACTGCTCAGATAGAGCCTGAAACCAAATACTGACCTGTGTCTTATTGATGCTGTACATAATATTGACAATAGTAAATGGAGTGAGATGATAATTCTGAGCATGATAATTAACCTGTTGAAAATATAAATAGTGACAGTTATAAACACATTTGGTGATGTTATAACCATACAGGAAAAAGCACTTCCAAAATAAGGACTCTATCCCTGTAAAGGCCAGCTAAAGTGATCAAAACATAAATAAATGCTCACTGAACTAGGGGAACAGGCAGAACTTGTATTTGTATGCTGAAAATGTAAACACTAAAGCAAGCACGAGCCAGAAAATACTGGAACACAAAGCATCTTGCTTGTAATCGGGGATCTAGAAGTTGCTCTTGCAGACTCTGAAACACTTACTATAATACATTTTCCACCGCCCAAGTAAGTATGAAGAATGTTCAGGGTAAGTTAAATTTCAGAATGGAAAACGTATGCTACAAATAAAAACATGTTAATGTAGCAGCATCTCCCTAAGATTTGTAAGGCTTCCTTACACTCCACAGAGTATGAAAACTCAGCAATACCATGGTACGCAGGACCTGTGACTGGAAGAGGTAATATAAAGGACATACCTGACACTGGCGACGTAGAACAATGCAAGGATGTGCCAACACATTTTCTGTAAATAAGCTTTAAAAGAAAAGTGTGTTTAAAGCATTGGAAGCCATCATAAATTTATCAGAAAAGGCTTGTTATTTTTCTCTAACATAGAGTACGTGGTGGTAAGCTACCAAGTATCCATGCAAAATGCCTCATTAATTCACTAGATAATGTAGAGTTTTTCCAAATACTGATTTTATATCTAGTGGCCATAGTGTTCAGGATGTGGAAAACTTTGTCATGCTTGATTAAATCGAAGCATATAGTTCAAAGGACAACTGAGCCCTGCTAACAGCTCTCTGTTCCTGAAGGAGATCAACATGTTCCTGCCCTATTGCTCTGCCCATTTGCTGATACTCTCCTGAGCTCAATCACCTTGATAAAGCTGTAAAGAAGTCAAACAACTCTTTACATATTAGGGAGGACTAGTTCTAGTGCCCCCATCAACTCTATTTTAATAAACTGAGCAGGCTTATCAAGGGGTCTGAATAAGCAAGCCCAGCCACGGCAAGGGAAGCAGTGGGAGAAGAGGGACAAGCAATTTCATAGGGTGGGATGACTTAATTTAAGCAACTCATTATGAGCTAAAAATGGTAATTTCTTCACTTCTAGTTCTCCTTCTTTACCCCTTGCCTCTCTGGTCCAGTTAGCTGCTGTCTGTTGGCTTTCATAGGTAGTCAGCACCAGTAAATCAACTCAAATCAAACAGCAAAACATATTGCATCAATTTTGTTTTCTGTTTCAGTGAGTCAAACTGGTTAAAAGAGGCTCTGATATGCCTGGGTGAGGGTGATAACAATGGGGTAAGGAGCAGGACAGGCTGGTGGTCAAGTAAAAAGTCCTTCTCTTCAAGTAGAAATACACTATAAGAACCTCAACCGACATAGCTTCCATGTTGCTCTAACTGGATAAGTGACACAAGCATTCTCATACTGTGAAGAAAGAAGTACTTTTCCATGAGAAGTCTCATATTCAGGTCAACAACTGTGAGTCACAACTTTTTTAAGACAAAAACCCTACTTTCCATGTCTTCACAAGCTGCATCAGTACACTGACAAAGAAAAACCCAATCAGGTGTGAGTGACCAGGAATGCTACAAAAACCTCCTAAACTTATCATGATCCTTACACTTGACAATTTAAGCTCTGAAAATGCTGTTAAAGGCATGCTAAAATCCACTACTTTTTCAGCGTCACCATAATACAGAATGGTTATTGGACTACTTGGCTACATCAAGATTACTATTCCAGAATACTTTGGCAATATACTTGAAGACATTTTCATCTTCTTAGGAAACATTCACATTACCTAAAAATATTAATAAAAGTGGCAAATGTGAAAACAGCGTTCTGGTGTTAATTTTCGGATCGCTCTAACAGAGTATGCATAACCTGTGCTGAACCCAGGACAACCACACAAAATCCTCTTTCTTTATAGTCATTGCTGATCAAGTAAACAATTCAGTTAATTCAGTTAAGGAGAACAGAAACCTGCATGAATTGCAGGTAGTAGGTTTCTAAAGCCACTGCAACTGTGTGAGTCTACTGGCATAAAAACACAATGCAAAAGTATGCACAGGGATCACAGGATAAGTATAGCTTTACTAATTTTCTGTCATCGAAAATTGTTACACAACTCTTACCTTGCCAGGCCAATACCAAAGCCTGCAAACCTGTTCAGCTGGTCTGAAAAAAAAAAAATAAAAAGACCACCAGGTTATACAGCAGTGATAATCACAAAGCAGGAGAAAATGCCATGCAGATGATCTGAAAAGAGTATTCTTCTACTGTACTTGCTTTACTTCAGAAAATTATGGCACTAAACCACAACATTTGTGGCAACTCTGCACATGGATAAAAAAATTATTGCCCACAGAATATTTGCACTTTGGACTGCATTTGTGTTGGGACATGCTTTTACTAAAATTAAATAAATAAATAATCATTGTCTTAAAACAGATACAGAGGAAAAAATAAAAAATATTTAAAAAAAAAGAAAGTAGACAGTGAAACAGAGAATTTTAGCATATAAAAACCTACCTAAAACCAACCACTGAAAAAGTTAGCCAGCATGACAGTTTACCATAATTCTGAAACATATACTCAGATATCTGAGGTGAAATTAATTAAAAAAAACCGCCACAACAGTAAAAAGAAACTTTGGGAAAATTAACACTGAAAGTCATTGATGTAACAAACTTCAGTATGATGTGAACTTTCAAGTCAACTGTTTACCTCCACTCCTTTGCAAAAATCTAGTTACTGAGGAACTGTTAAAATCACAACAAGAATAATGGGTTGAATTCTCTGTTGTCTGCTCTTAGGCAGACATTTGCACATTGGGTATTATCAGAAAAGATTTTAAGACGAGTATCAGAACTGTAAAGGCAACTGAAAATTAACGCTCAGTCCTACAATCTACAGGGTGCACAGAACCTGTGACTATGGCTGATGCCAGTAACATCAGTGGAGCTCCACAAAGACATGGGAGTCCTTCTAAGAGGAGTAACTCTCTCCACTTGCAGAAGCTGGACTCAGTGATACAGCAACTCCTTATCAGTCCTCCAAAATGCATAAACAAGAACCAGCGTAACCTCCATGAGTAGGTAGACCAAAAAAAAAAAAGAAAAAGTGGAGTCCAAGTATTTACGAATATTTAAGTGGTGCTTTAAGCAATGCTTAGTCTAGCTAAGGCTATACTCATTACAAAACCTGAACAAATCCACTGCACGCTAAAAAAAAGAAAAAAAAAAAGAATAAAGCAACAGTTCCATTTCAGTCTTTCATAAAAATTTCATACCCAAGTGTATTCGAAATGCTCCAGAACATCCTTTTAATTAAAGGAGACAATGTTCTGTAGCCTAGATTTAGCAAGTTTCTCTTAACTCACCTCAATTTTACAAAGACATTAAATGATGATGGTTTCTGCTCAATTACTGGAAAAGAACATAGATGTTTCCTCAAATTCTACCAGTTTCACAGTTCCTTTACTATCACAGGTGGAGGACTTTACTTAAGCAGCTCATGCTGTACTTCCTGCATTTTGTCAACGGCACAATAAAACAGCCACAAGACACAAAGTCTAAAACACCAACGACTAAATTGTAACAATATATACCGTCAGACCCGGTGGTAGTACTTGCCCTTACAGCAAGTGGAGTATTTCTGCTGTTTATCGTTTACATAAGCAATAGGGAGCTGACCACACGCTGCTTAACCAGAAGCCGCAGGGCACATTCTGGCACTCTCAATCGCATATGCATGTAACTACGCGTTGCTGCACCGCAAAGCGAGTGCTGGAGTGCAACAGGCTCTCCTTCTTCTAAAGGACTTTTCCCTCGGCGGGGCAGAGGTCAGCGACAACACACCCGGGCGGCGCTGGTCCGGAAGCAGCCCGGCCGCGGATGAGTCTCCAACCACCGCCCGCTTGCCCTTGCCCGGCGCAGCTGGTCACCGGTAACGGGGGACTGGGGGCCGTAGTGAAACGAGGGAACGGCGAGAGGCGTGCTACCCCGCCGGGCCAGGCCGAGCCCTCCCTTACCGGCGCCAGGGCCGCCCGGCCCGAGGTTGGGCTCCTCGTTGAGGCCGGCGCCCCCCAGTGGGGTCCCCGCCCCGTACGGCGGCGTCTTCTCGCCCCAGTGCAGGTTGCGGCTGCCAGGGATGTCGGGCGGACTGGTCACCCAGTGGCCCAGCTCCGAGGCACTGCCGAAAGGCCTGGGACCCGACTCCTCCCGGCCGCTACCGCGGTAGCCCAGGCCGTCAAAGCCCTCGGGGCGCCGCGGGTGCATGGCGAGGGGCAGGCGGGGCACGAGGGCGGCAGCGGCGTAGAAGCTGGCACTAACAGCGGCACAACCCCCACCCAACGCCTGACCACCGCCGCCAGCTGCAGAACAGAGCCGAGCCTGCTGGAGCCGAGCACGGGCCACGTGATGCGGGAAGAGGCGGAGCCGGCGGACTGTTCGGCCAACAGCGTCCCTGCTGCCGGCCAGGGGGGTGAGGGTGCCTTCCGGTGGGCCTTCACGGGGAGGCGGAGTCCGGGACCCGGAGGGGAGAGGAGAGGAGAGGAAAGGAAAGGAAAGAAAAGAAGGGAAAGGAGAAAGTGAAGGGAAAGGGGCCGGGGGTAAGGGAAAAGGGAGGGAGAAGCGGAGGGGAAGGAGAAGGGGAAGGGATCTCTATGGGAAGTTTGTGTGACAGAGCTGGAAGTGGGGCTGTCGACTGTGGTAACAGGGCTGAGCAAACCCCACAGGGGGGACAAGGCAGAGGGGTCAGGACAGTGTCTGCTTGGTGTAACCCCACTGTTCCGTAGCCTGTGCTTCCCATCCTCTCTTTATCTCCCACTAATAAACTGGTTGCTGGGCAGGCTCCCTGCTGAGGAGAAGTGGTCACAGTCACCAGTGGGACTGTGGGTGCTCCCCCTGGCCAGCCACAGGAGTCTCTAACATGGGCCTGATACTGGCTGGACAGCTTCCCTGTGGGGTGTTTGCTCTCTGCTCCTCCTGCCTTGAAAAGTCCATCAAGGTCTCCCACTGCTAGGTCTCAGTCTGACCTCGCAGCTTTTCGGTTTTTTTTGTACACAGGGTTAAGCCAACATTAGTCCATTTAAGCCTATTAACATGGGCAGCAGGAGTCATCCACTGACTTGTGCTTTCCCACCATTACAGTCCCTTGCAGCTCCACATGTTGTGCTTGGAGATGGTTTCTTCTTCTGCCCTTATGTGCTAGTTTCATTTTACCAGTAGAGCTTCAAGTAAAGAGCCAGCATTCACGTGAAAGCAGACCCTCAGGGATAAACAGCACTTCTGTGCCACAAAGGCAGTGTGGATCCTTCCTCTCTCTACCACCATTTTATTGGACCATGACATTTTCCTTGTTAACTGAAAGTCTGCTGACATCATTGAATTTTAATGTTGTAATCTCAAAAATATGTGCAGATGAATCAACTGCCTCTGAGAACAGGGGCCAAAACACTGCAGATTTTTTTTCTTTTTCTGGTAAAAATCCATATTAAAACCAACCAGGTTACTTTTGTTTCTAAGACATGTTCACTTAGATCAGGTCAACATATAGGAATATACATGTCTTTAAGGGTATGTGGTGATCTGATCATGTGCAGCCTTATACATGAAGGTAGTGCCTCTGGATCTCGTAGAAGTTACGGTTTTGAGAGAAAATGCTGACCGTGAAAGAGTAGAGTGTGTACTATTGATAATACATCCTGCAATAGCCTGACAGCATGAACAATGAAAAGCTCTTGTACATGCAAAGAAAAGTATGTGGAAATAAAAGCATGGAAATAAAGTACATTTAATTGTTACATGCTTTTAGTTCCCTGTAAAGCTGTAGAAATCATAAAAAAGTTTGAGTTGGAAGGAATCCTTAAAGGTTTAATCTAAGCATCCCTGCAATGAGCAGGGGTGCCTTCCACTACATCAGGTTGCTCAGTGCCCTGTCCAGCCTGACTTTGAGTGTTTCCAGGGATGGGGCATCTACCACCTCTCCTGGCAACCTGTGCCTCTCTTATCATAAAGAATTGCTTACATATGTCTATGTATTTCAGTTCAAAACCATTAGCCCTTGCCATATCACAACAGGCCCTACTAAAAAGTTTGTCTCCATCTTTCCTGTAAGCCCCCTTTAGGTACTGGAAGGCTGTAATAAGGTCTCTTTGGAGCTTTCTCTTCTCCAAGCAGCCCCAACTCTCTCAGCCTTTCCTCCTCATAGTAAAGATGTTCCACAGTCTGATGATTTTTATGGCCCTCCTCTGGACCTATTCCAACAGGTCCTTTTCTTTCTTGCACTTGGGACCCCAGAGCTAGATGCAGTTCTCCAGTTGGGTTCTGACCAGGGCAGAGTAGAGTACAGGAACCAAAACCCCTCCCTCAACCTGCTGGTTACACTTCTTTTGATGCAGCCCAGGACATGGTTGGTTTCTAGACTGCAAGCGCATGCTTGCTGGCTCACATCCAGCTTTTCATCCACCAGTACCCCCAAGTCCTTCTCACCAGGGTTGCTCTCAATCTGCTCATCCCCCAGCCTGTATTGATCCTGGGGATTGCCCTGACCCAGATGCAGGACCTTGCACTTGGCCTCGTTGGATTTCATTGAAGTTCACATAGGCCATTTCTCATTCTTATCAAGGTCCCTCTGGGTGGCATCCCGTTCCTCAGGCATGTCAACTGCACCACACAGCTTGGTGTTGTCTGCAAACTTGCTGAGAGTGCATCAATCCCACTGTCTCGGTCATCAATGAAGATATTAAATAGTACTGATGAAGATATTAAATAGGAATATTAAACAGAAATGCAGGTGTGGGATCTATGCCTTCTACACAGCATTTCCAGACCATCCCCTGGTGTTTGTCAGACTGTGCTGTCATGGCACAGAACTTACTTTCAAATGATCCAGCAGAAGCTAGGGCTGATTTCCTTTATTTAAAAAAAAACAAAACAAAACCAACCAACCAACCAAAAAAAAAAAAAAAAAAAAACCAAACCAAACCAAAAAAAAAACCAAAAAGAACAATTTGGTTGTTCTTTTGCAGTGAGAATGAACTGGCAGCAGGCTAAGTGCATTGAGCAGGAATTACAAGACACAGAGCTTCTGTGCTAATGATCCCTTAAATTAAATTCCAGCCTCCAGGGGAGAAAAAAGAATGAGGGCTGTGAAGAAGAGAAAGGACCAAGCCTCATTCACACAGAGATTCTGAGAGAAAGATTGTTGTTCTGAAGAAAAATACAATCTTTTTCCACACTGGAATAATAAGCCAGATCCTCTTTCCTAAAACAAGGCTCACTGACTCAGTAAGTGTGTGAGAGGGACAACAAATTTGTGGAAATTTGGGGGAGGAAACTGTATGTCACATAGAAACATCAACCATTCCTATACATCATTACTGTACTCTTCCTTGCCCATAAAACCAATTTTCTGAAAAAGAGTGATTTTTTTTTTTTTTTTTTTGGTTTTCAGTCCCAACAAGAATACTTGAGCAGACTTCCAAGGCATTGTCTTACTTTCCTTCTACAAAGATGCTATCTGTAATGTCAGAGACTGTCTCTTGAATCTACAGATTTCTGTCTGTGGAGTCAGAAAGGCTGAAAGAGAGATTACATTCTTTGGGGAATTATGTGGGAAATCTGAGCTCCACTCTTTAGGACAAATCCCCTTACAGATTTAGCTTCACAAAGTGGAGCCTGTGTCATTCAGGGTCCTGTATACGGTATATAGAAATGCATGCCACATAGCAGCTTGCTATCAATTCTGTGTACTCACATAGCTTACTGTAAGCCTGTGTGTTCACAGTCTGTGCACATTGGGCATCTATTCTCTAGGAAACAGCAAACAAGTTTATTTCTCTAGGAAACTGCAGCTATCAGATTACTCAATGGGGAATGCTTTTTCACATGCAAGCCTTCATTGTCTGTCTTATTCAATATCTCACCTACATGTAAGAAAACATTAAATTACCTTTTGCGTCTACACATACTTGACTTATGCTGTTTACTTGTAACAGTGTATGTTTCGGCACTGGTACTGGGAGCTCATCTTTTGGATACTTCCTGCCCTTCTTTTTCCTTGAGTCAGCCCTGCCTCCAGGCACATGAAAGCTTTTATACATGGTGATAGGTGGGAGGAAGTTATGCCAATGGAGACAGCTGTTCAGTCAGCAGAGTGTATATCCTGAGCAGATTTTGCTTAGTTTTCTAAGTCCTGCAGAATTAAAATCTATGCTTTCCTTAGGGAAAAAAAAAAAAAAAATTGTAGCTATTGCATTGTTATCCAGTTAGTAAAGGACTACTCTGAAAAGCTTCTGACTCAGATTTGATTTACACCACATGTTTGAGATCCACACAGTCTGTAGCTGCCCTCTGATTCATATAATGAAAAAGAGCATCTATGCTCCAAGGCAGCCAGGGTTTTCAGCAGCACAGCTTGAAAAAGAGCTGAGTGTTGGGTCTATGTATTGAGTTTATATGACTGCAGGAATGGCTGCTGTGAGAAGACTCCAGAAGCTGCCCCTATGTTGGACGCAGCCAATTCCAGCTAGTTTCCAGGCAGACTCACTGCTGTCCAGAGTTGAGCCATCAGCAAAGCTGGTAGTGGCTTTGTGAGAATATACTTAAGAAAGAGTAAGAAATGCTGCACAGACGGAGGAGTGAGAATATGTGAGAGAAACAGCTCTGCATACACCCAAGTCAGTGCAGGAGGAGGGGAAGGGTGCTCCATGTGCTGGAGCAGAGGTTCCCTGCAGCCCATGGTGCAGCCCATGGTAAGGCAGCTGTGCCCCTGAAGCCCATAGAGTTCCATGGTGGAGCAGATTCCACCTGCATCCCACACTGGAGCAGATGGGGATGACCTGGAAGAAGCTGCAGCCCATGGAGAGCGCACACCAGAGGAGGTTTTCTGTTAGGAGCTGCAGCCCTTGGGAATCGTGTGCATCTCATCCTGAAGAACTGTACCACATAGAAAGGACCCACACTTGAGGAATTCTTAAAGAACTGTATTTCATGGGAAGGACTCACATTGGAGCAGTTCATGAAGGACTATCTCACATGGGAGAACCCTATCCTAGAGCAGGGAAACTGTGAGGAGGAAGGAGCAGCATGGGTGAAGAGTTATGAACTGACCGCAACCTCCATTTCCCATCCCCTGGCACTGCTCGAGGGGAAGGAGGTAGAAAAGTCAGGAGGGAAGTCTGGAAAGAAAGGGCAGGGGGTAAGGGAAAGGTGTTTTAAGTTTTGTTGTGTATTTTTCTCCCCCCCCCCCCCACCTTTTTAATTGGCAATAAAATAATCTTGCCTTAACCTTCCCCAAGTT